ATGGCAGCGGTACAAACAGCTAATATTACTCCAGCTATTATTGTCCTGGATCAGACAGAGGAAGTTAGGGTTGTGTAAAAGATGACGGCAGAGCTATATTTTAAAACTAAAGTGGATTTTTGCAAAAAAAAATATGGGAGGAAAAATGAAAAGCTGGAGCTTCAACAAAAGCCATCATCCAACAACCAGCTGCAGATCTGATCCTATTCATAACTTTTACCATTGCTTTTTGAGCTACTTGCAGTCAGACTGGGTGTTTTATGCTACGGCGGTTAAGAAAAAATACTATTAGTACAAATTTGATGAAATTAGAAATGAAGACGTGGCATTGAGATCCCAAATGTTAGCACATACCAACTTAACTTATTATCGGATTGTCAAGGACCCTCACTGCTCATTTTCTGGATAAAAACAAGCTGGATAATCAATGATTTTTCCATCACTGTTGCACATCTCAGGGTGTGATATAAGGCCATTTTGCCAGGGAGGATTCATATGTAGTTGTTGTTTCAGACTTTACCGTGTCCATGCTGGACACAATGTTTATAGAGACAACAGCCAGTGAGCCTGAGCAGCAGGCAGGTTATCTTAGAGATATGAGACATGTGCAAAACCACCACCCACTGACCAATAAATTATCTGGATAAAAGTGGTTCAAGTGTCGTCATTCCTAGAAGATCCCTCTGATGTCAATGCACAGACAATAAGAGAAGATTTAATTTCAAGAGACCATCTAAATCCTTTGGTTTAGATTCTTAGGGGAAAAATTATTCCTTCCAGTTTTTCCCTCCAATACATTTTATTTATAGATATATTTAGCGTTTCTATGACATACATGGAGATGTAGTCCTTAAGTAGGGCACCTATGTCGGCTCATAGTCAATGAAAAAACAAAGAGTTGATTCATCGTCAGCTTCTTGCAACCAGTAATCATGACTGATGATGTTAGGGGTGGGTGAATCCAGATAGGGAACATATTTCCTGGATATGTTGGACTTGTTTCAGAGGACAAGTCCCAAAGAATGGTTTGCATTTGAAATTTTCACTTTTCTGCTGGTTTGCATCTTTCTAAAAAACTGTCAAGGCAGCATTTGTTCATACCAGCTGTATTTGTCCATGTTAGGAAGGCTTGTCTTCAATGCACAGGAACAAATACCATCCAATTGTTCTTTTCTGTTTCTAAAATCACAATTGCAGTCTCCTTGGAGTCCCAGGGCTGAAGAGGCTCACCTGTATTCATATAAATAGGTGCAGGCAGAGCAGCTGGGTTTCTTCTGCATTGCCAGCAGCCTTTTGCTTACACTGCTTTTTGCAGTTTTGACTGCAGTCCTGTTTTTACACTCAGTTTTATTAGTTTGGTTTATTAACATACCTGCTGAAACCTGTATAAGACAGCACATTTTATGGTTGGTTTAAACCATTTTCTCCCCTCTCTCTCCTTGCTTTTTCTGCTGAAGCTACAATCTCACACTAACATGGCTCCATAGTGTATTAGTTTACCCAATAAGCTTCCCAGTTTGAGCCCAGATGGAGAGATCTATCCCTGGTAGGGTTATGTCCAGAAGGGCATTGTTGGGTGTAAAAAACAAACAAAACAAAAAAAAAGACAAATCTATCAAATCTTGTGGATCACACTGCTGCAGTGACCCATGGTGAATATGGGAGGAAGTGAAACAAGTTTCTTTCTTTTTCTCCTTTCATAAACCTTCCCTCCTAAAACATTTTTAAAGTGCAGCAAAGTTTTGTAGCATGTCATATGCTGAGTTCCTTTGAGCCACAGATTTGGGGACTCCAACAGAAAGGGCTGAAACTAAAGACAATTGGTCTCTTTTTGTGCCACGATTTTCTAATAGATCCTGAACTGCAGATAAGTGACATCTCTAGGACTTTACAGTCTTTCCTTACATTGTTCTGCAGGCACTGGTTGTCAAAGGCAGCACCTAAATGAAGAACCAAAATATACCATGCATCTGAAAGAACTGAAACTTGTTGCCGTGCCTGTGCCATTTCTAATTGGCTGATTATGAAAATTAAATAGAAGAATAGACTAAAAACTTACATGGAAAAATAAAACAGTTCAGTGAGATCTTCTGTTTTATTAGAAATGTATAATATAAACATTAAAGTGCTTGCACCACTATCAACACATTCAGATGTGGCTCTGTAAAATTATGGCGTGTCATTTCTCATAAAGCGGGATTACGGCTGATGTATGACCACCTTCTGCTATGACCCCGAAACCGTGTCACTGTATAACAAATGAAGCGTCTTATCTTTGTGTGAAGATGTATGTACTTATTTTGGACTGTTAAAGGTGTTTTCTCTTTCCCAAGCCAGAGCAGCTGCTCCAACTCTTGTGTGTGTTCTGCAAAACTGCTGATTTCAACACAGTTTTCACACCTAACAGCTCTTCCCATTTATCATCTATTCAAAACAAATAAACAGGCTAAACAAGGGAAGACGCAAAAGATAGCGATCAAAGATAAAACAGCAAAGGTTTAAAGAAATAGCTTCATTCTTTTTTCTAGAATCTAAAATCAGATGAGTGAGTCTAAACTAATGTCTTGGTACTGAAATTTAACAGTTTGGGGGTTAAAAAGCTCATTTGTTGGCTGAGATTAGGCGACAGGACTGAAACCACTTTACAGCAAATACACAGCCAGCAGCTGATTCACTTAGCACCTCATTACAGGCGTGAATACAGGAAAGAGACAGTTTGACTCCCTTCAGATGTGAAAAGAATCAGCAGATTGAACCTCAAAGTTCAATATGTCACAATCTATTAGTATAAACAACAATTCACTCTTTATGTACAGGGCCCATGAATGTGAGGGCTTAGAAGGACATAGCAAGCATAACATGCAACAGTGACTGCACTATCAAAAAGAAAATGCCAGATATTTTAATCAACATAAAAGCAGCAATACAAAATCTCTTTGTAACGGTCATACCGCATATTAAAGATGGATGTGAGTGTTGTGACATCACCCTGAAGGCTAAATAGCTGCTACCATGCTTTTTAATCTTTTAAGAGACCAGTGGCATCCAAATGGACTACATCGTAACATTTTAAAGGGTCCAGCTTTGGTGAAGAAGTGCCAGATGTGTAAACAGCATTCACTGACCTTAGATAGATAAGGATAAGATGTGTTGCTGTCAAAACTTAATTATCAAGATGGTGTATTAAAAAAAACAACAACAAAAAAAACAACACATAGACACATACACAATAAAAAAGGGTGAAGAAGATGTGAAAAAGCTGGAGTCCCCAAAGTCCTGAAACTAGCAGATTTGGTAGCAGAATAATGCCACGTTTAAGATAATAAAAAGCACTTTCAGTCACCAAAACTGGAGCACAGACCCCTTAGACATGCTGTTAGTACAGTTAACCACAAGCCACGATAATTACCCATTCAACACATTCAACAAGAATCACCAGTTCAAATCCATCACTATCTGACTAGTATGGCATCAAGTACCTACAGGGAGTGCAGAATTATTAGGCAAATGAGTATTTTGTCCACTTCATCCTCTTCATGCATGTTGTCTTACTCCAAGCTGTATAGGCTCGAAAGCCTACTACCAATTAAGCATATTAGGTGATGTGCATCTCTGTAATGAGAAGGGGTGTGGTCTAATGACATCAACACCCTATATCAGGTGTGCATAATTATTAGGCAACGTCCTTTCCTTTGGCAAAATGGGTCAAAAGAAGGACTTGACAGGCTCAGAAAAGTCAAAAATAGTGAGATATCTTGCAGAGGGATGCAGCAGTCTCAAAATTGCAAAGCTTCTGAAGCGTGATCATCGAACAATCAAGCGTTTCATTCAAAATAGTCAACAGGGTCGCAAGAAGCGTGTGGAAAAACCAAGGCGCAAAATAACTGCCCATGAACTGAGAAAAGTCAAGCGTGCAGCTGCCAAGATGCCACTTGCCACCAGTTTGGCCATATTTCAGAGCTGCAACATCACTGGAGTGCCCAAAAGCACAAGGTGTGCAATACTCAGAGACATGGCCAAGGTAAGAAAGGCTGAAAGACGACCACCACTGAACAAGACACACAAGCTGAAACGTCAAGACTGGGCCAAGAAATATCTCAAGACTGGTTTTTCTAAGGTTTTATGGACTGATGAAATGAGAGTGAGTCTTGATGGGCCAGATGGATGGGCCCGTGGCTGGATTGGTAAAGGGCAGAGAGCTCCAGTCCGACTCAGACGCCAGCAAGGTGGAGGTGGAGTACTGGTTTGGGCTGGTATCATCAAAGATGAGCTTGTGGGGCCTTTTGGGTTGAGGATGGAGTCAAGCTCAACTCCCAGTCCTACTGCCAGTTTCTGGAAGACACCTTCTTCAAGCAGTGGTACAGGAAGAAGTCTGCATTTCAGCAGTTTGAGACAATGCTCCATCACACGCGTCCAAGTACTCCACAGCGTGGCTGGCAAGAAAGGGTATAAAAGAAGAAAAACTAATGACATGGCCCCTTGTTCACCTGATCTGAACCCCATTGAGAACCTGTGGTCCATCATCAAATGTGAGATTTACAAGGAGGGAAAACAGTACACCTCTCTGAACAGTGTCTGGGAGGCTGTGGTTGCTGCTGCACGCAATGTTGATGGTGAACAGATCAAAACACTGACAGAATCCATGGATGGCAGGCTTTTGAGTGTCCTTGCAAAGAAAGGTGGCTATATTGGTCGCTGATTTGTTTTTGTTTTGTTTTTGAATGTCAGAAATGTATATTTGTGAATGTGGAGATGTTATATTGGTTTCACTGGTAAAAATAAATAATTGAAATGGGTATATATTTGTTTTTTGTTAAGTTGCCTAATAATTATGCACAGTAATAGTCACCTGCACACACAGATATCCCCCTAAAATAGCTAAAACTAAAAACAAACTAAAAACTACTTCCAAAAACATTCAGCTTTGATATTAATGAGTTTTTTGGGTTCATTGAGAACATGGTTGTTGTTCAATAATAAAATTATTCCTCAAAAATACAACTTGCCTAATAATTCTGCACTCCCTGTAGATGTAGAAAAGCATGCTTGTGTGAATGGGTGTGAATGAGGAATGTTGTTTAAAGCACTTTAAATGCTCCAGTAGGGAAGAAAAGTCCAGTCCAAATCACATAAAAGGCACCAACAACACAAAAATAGTCAAGTGTTCCATTTTTGTGACATGAATTTGCTTAGTGAAGCCCAGCAGTCTGCCTATATGGGCGCACCTGTCAGTAACAGTGTCCATTCCATTAATAACACCAACTGTAAGCTTGATAAAAGTTAAACTGGTCAGTTATATAAAAATTTACCCTCTGTGCAGTAGACAGTTTCTTTACATGCAGAATGAAATCAGGAGTACAGAGTGAAATGGCAATACTGAAAAACATAAACCCCAATAACACGATGACTTTCCATTAACCCAAAAAACCAGCTGCTGTTTTTAGTCTCATCTGTGTACAAATGAAAATACACACTCAGGCTCCCCACCTTACTGCAGTTAGTGAACCTTAGCGGAGATAGGAAAAAATGCCAAATCTACTCAGGGCTGTTTCTCTCCCATCCTGGAACAAAACTCTCCATCTTTCCATATAATTTGATGAATGTGAACACATTCCTGGCAGGAGAAAATCTTTGTCTGAGCCCGATTAGAGTTATTCCTGCCCTATAAAGGCAAAAAGCAGCATAAAGAGAGAGAATGTAAGAAAAATGGCAGCCAAGCAGCCAAACGACTTGACAGATTTGAGAAAATGCAGTAATTTATTGACTTAGTGAAGTTTTCCTTCACCGAACACAAGCTGACAAACTGATTAAGTTTCATTTTCTGGACAAATGAGTAAAGTTTTTGCATTTTTGCTTTGCTTTGTAAGGCAGACGGTACATGAACATTGTTAGTAGGTCAGTTAGTGAGGGCTTCCCTGCTCTGTAAATTGAAAACACTCCTTTCATAGTTCTCCGTTTTCACAGGCTTGCATGGAAGTCATCTTTACAGGTCTGAAACCACTGTACTGTCCATCTGGGCTCGGGTACTCCCTCCTGATTCTCCACACGCAGCAGCTAGGAATGGCAGGATGGGTGTCATTGGGTGGGACCCCAAACCACCAGCTGATGTACTCTCTGTAGGCACAGTGACGCAGGGCGGCAGTCTGAAGCTTTTTCACTGAAGGAGACAGGGGATCCTGGTACAGGAGCACTGCCTCCAGCAGGGAGCGCCGCAGCACCAGCTGCCCAAACAGAGGAGACGAGGTGATGCAGGTGCCCTCGGTCCGCCTGCAGCACAACTCCTCCTCTGGGAGGGAGGAAGGAGCACAGGAGTCACACATACACCAGGCTGGACGATGGGGTTTGGCATTTGGATCGGTTTTCTTGCCAAGGGAAGGCTGAACATCATCATTGGTGTCATCACTTGGCTGTAGGAGGCAGAGAATGGCTCTCAAGTGTCCTGGATCCTCCTGCAGAGATGAGAGCATAATTTTAAAAATCTGTCTCTACAGCAAGAAATAACAAGAAATAATGTTGCATGACATCACACACAAAAAACACACAATTAGGTTTTGTCATCATAGGTTTTTTGTTTTTGTTTTTTTAAATAGTGCTTATTCTGGTCCCTCAAAAAGGACCGATTTGCCTTAGGAGATAGTACCAAGTTCCTGGGATCACCCTAAAACCCCTAAAACAAAATAAGGTAGCGATTCATGGAGAACTCTGGATGCCTCAAATAAGAGGAATTCTTGGAATGTCCAAGTGAGAGAACTCAAGGCCGACCCAGGACACGTGAGAGGGATTGTGTCTCTCAGCTGGCATGCAAACATGTCTCCCAACAGAAGAACTGGTGAAGGAGGAGGTCAGGGTATCTCGGCGGGCGGGCGGGCGGGCGGACGGAACTTCTTTTTGATGAAGATGCTCAAAACTTTCCTTATATTTACATCATGTGTCTATCAGATATAATTCAATTCACAATAGAATTTTCAGCGGTAGGGTATGAATTACGACCTCTTTGTGTTTTGGGAGTAGAAAAGACCTGCTGTGAGAGAAGAATTATGTGCTAAAGATGAGCACAGATATTAATCTCATCTCGCTGCCATTTATAATCTGGGTTTTCTCACATGGTGTATTTAAAAGCAGTTGAATTAGCCATTAGCAGCTCCCGTTTCTTTCTGTAGGGTTGTATGTGCAGGCTACTATCAAGCATCTTTTTTTGTACATTTTCCTCATTTACACTTTGATTTCTGCACTCTGTGCTCTGTAGGTTTACCTTACGTGGCTGAACAGACATCGGTTTGATGACCTGTAAACTTTTCTTTTGTGAGCGTTTTACCAGTCGAAGGTTGTTCTCATCAATGTAGGAAACACAAAGGATGCACTGCAACACACGGTCACATGAAATAACATTAATTACATTCTTTGTCACTGGTTCAGAGCTGCAGTAAACACAAAATCAAATCAAAACACCTTCACCTTCTCTTGATCTTGGATTGATTCCACTTTCCTTTCAGAGTAGTTTTGACCGACCTCTGCAGAGTAACAGCTGGTTCCAATCAACCAGTCGATCAGGATGGTTGTCTGGACGGAAAGAGAGACTTTCACATAAATAGAGATGAGGGACACTTTCCTTCAGTAAACGTGAACTTTACACTAAATACGATAAATTACATTAGACATGTACAAAATACAATCAAGTTGTTTAAATCAAAATTAAGTCAAAAAGTTACAATTTGGACATAAAACCCACATTTATGACCAAACTTTTCTTGCCAAATTAAAAGGTTCACTTGCCATATGTAAACAAAACTAAAATTACTTAATTTCTTTTTTCTTTTTTCACTGTGGATATTTGAAAGGTAAGCTTTTAACTTTTTGAAAATTTTATAAATTTTGTAAAATTTTATTAAAAATCTGTCAAAAGACAATTTCAAAAGTTTTTAAATAAGTTCTTAAAATGTATTAAATAATAAGGTAACTATGACATTCAAAGGACAATATCATGTAAAAATGTTATAAAACTATAATTAAGGTAAAAGTATACATACAAAAATGTTTCTAATGTTAAGTCTTACGTTAAAAGACACTCTACACATGAAACTTATTTGGACTTTTTACTGTGAGCAATTAATACAATATAAGAAGATTAAAATCATGTAAATTTTATGAAATCATGGATAACTTCTCGATTTTTTTAATGACATTAATAAGCTTGCTTTGATATTTATGGTTGCTCCCCTGCATCTGCAGAGGAGCTGAATATATTTTCCATGCGCTGCACTCCCACTCTGGACTTTAACACTGAGTCCCACTGTGCTCACTCCTGAAGGAGGATAAAAGCATGAATGGACATGTGTGTGGTCTCTCACCAGGGCGTAGTAGGACAGCGTTGAGCCGATGTAGATGATGAGTTGAATGAAGCTAAACTTTCCCGCCTGAAAAACAAATCACATTTTCCCCTTTACATTCTCCTCTCGCCAAAAATTTGGATATACTGATGCCAGAAATTCCCCAAGAGCAAACAGGCAAGCACAAATTGAGTTACTGATAAAATACATCTTGTATGACTTGTCAGTAATTTTATTTCACTAACAAGATACAAAACTTTTTCCCTTTCAACTGAAAAAAAAAAAAAAATGCACATAGCCCGCTAAACATAAAAGCCAAAATTCACAGATACAGAGTCTAAAAATATTACCAACCATATAAATCTGATTTGTCTGATTTGATTACATTTTGATTCTCTGTCCAACATCAGTTTGAATTTTCCAGTGTTAAACTTAGATTATTTCCTACAGCATCACACAATCAGTCCAATTTTAAGCATTTTTTTTAATTCAGATTCCAGCTGACTTGACATTTGCACAGTTTTAAATGGAGTCAAAGTTGCATAACAGGAGTAGGGAAGAAGTAAATACATAATTACATTAAAAAAAGGGGGGGGGGTGGCAAAGAAAGTAAAAGAAAAAAAAGAGGTTATGAATGAGTTTTTCGAGAATAGTTTGAAAGAGTTTTTCAAAAAATAAGTCATGTTAAAAAACTGGAGGCTTATGCAACCAATTTCTTTGAATCCAAAAATTTTTTGACATGCAAGGTCAAATGACCCAACTGTAATACATTATACAGTGATCTAATGGTTTGCAGAAAATCTGATCTCCTGGAAGTACATCTAAAATGACCACAATTTCTTCACACAAGGCAACAAAATGACAGGAAGCAGGTTCTATTACAGCTGTGTGAAGTTCAGAATTCAGAACATATCAGAAATGACTGGTATGAAATAGAAAGGTTAACTATTAACATTTACATTTGTCAGTGATGTTGACTGTTTAAAGGAACACCTCATTGCCGTTATCGCCTTCTAAGTGGATTCACTTCTAAAAGAGATAATAAAGGAAGCATTGACCAACAATCAGCTCTCAGATACTTCAGGGTCACTTCACTCATTTCAGAGCCTTCCTGAGAAATGTTCACTTTTCAGCCACAGTCCTGGAACTTTTGTCTTAATGAGGGCTTTTTGATAAATTATTAAATAGGAGGAAAATATACAGTGGCCCTGAGAGGCCAAACGGACTGCAACTTAAGAAACACCAGCAAAAAGAAAAACGCTGCAAAAGCACACAAAACACAACGGAAATAGGAAAAGGAAAAACAGATTTCCAAAAGCACAGGGGAAGTGATTCTGGGGAGACAATAACCCGACGGACCAGTTGCAGGAACCAAAATATGCTAAGAATTGCGCTGGGAGACACTTAAAAGAAGTAGAGGATCTATCGGTTTTGTGAGGAAAGAAAAGATGAGAGGTAAGTGTGTTAGCCTAACTATTAGCCTAAAAATCGGTATTATATGAATCATGATAAAACACACCTACCATGTTTTGGGTTCCTGCAAATGGTCCGTCGGGTAATTGTCTCCCCAGAAACACTTCCCTTGTGTTTTTTTCCTATTTCTGTTTTCGTATATCCATTGTCGTTTTTCCTTTCCCCCCCTATTTCCGTTGTGTTTTGTGTACTTTTGCAGCGTTTTTCTTATTGCTGGTGTTTTCTTAAGTTGCAGTCCGTTTGGCCTCTCAGGGCCACTGAAAAAATATCATAAACTCACATTTTTCCCACTGGGAACCCATCAGCTGATCTAAACCAAACATTTCCCAAATTAGCATGCCAGTGTGGCTACAGTATGCAAGGACTATAGCAGTGCAGTGATTAAAACCGCTGCCTTGCAGGAAGCTGGTTCAAATATCCTGGTTGGCTTGGGCCTTTCTGTGTGGAGGTGTGTACAGTGTGCTCCCTGTGCCTGCGTGGGTTTCCTCCTACAGTCCACAGGCATGCATCCTCGATTAACTGGTGGTGCTAAATTGGCTGTAGGTGTCAGGTAGTAGTGTTTTAGGTGAATACTGTGAGTGTTTTGTTCTAATATGATTTGTAATCTGAAGTTCTTTGACATTACCATGATCGATATCATGGTTTGGGTTTTTTTTTTTTTTATGGTTTCTTGCTCATTTAATGAGAGTCATGCTAATATGCAGTAAAAAAAACAACAACAAAAAAACAAAACAAAAAAAACAACATCAGCAGGAGCAGATTGATTTCTCCCAAAACAATAATCTCAAGGGGGAATAATTAAACTATTCTGAAAACATGACAACAAAAGAGAAATTTTCAGTTTTGTTGTGGTGTCTTATATTAATATTGTATTTTTTTACTCCTCTGGGCCACAGTAGTACATTGTTAGATCGATTCAATGGCTCAATACTGTGATTTTCTAACGAACAGCAGTCTTACTCTTTGATGAATTAATTGTTCTGCATTAGCAGTCAGCTTTACTTTAACCCTTTAACAGAGGGACGAAACAATAAGGAAATAAAAACCTCACCTGTCCGAATACCATGACATCAAATCTGATCCCAAATGCTTTGTAGAGTGTTCGCTCCTCCACTCCATTCACAGTGTTGTACTTTGCAAACCTGGTGAAAAAACACAGGATGTGACAGATGCAATAACTTTGAAGGGCTGACGTAAATGTTAAAGCAAGAGAAGGTTTGTCACCGCTTGTGTATAGCTTTAATTGTTTTCATTGTTCCTTTAGTGACTCTTGACTGTCCACTGCACACAGAGCACGATGGAGGTGACCTTTGACCTGCGCTCACCTGAAGTTGAGGCCTGGATAGAGCGTCTTGTTGCTCTCTTTTTCATCTAGTCGCTTGAAAGAGTATCTGGGAAGGCAGCGCTGCATGAGCCTGTCGAGGTTGCAGTCCCATTTGATCAGGATGCCGATGACGCCTCCCTGTGGTCAAAAGCGGGACTACAAAAGCTCAACATTTACAGAGGAAAACCCAGAACTGATTTTTTACATCAGTTCATGTGTCAGAATTTAGAGTTTTTATTGATTACTGTGCTTGTGTAATAAGGTATATTTTTCCCAACATATATTAAACTTCAAACCTTCAAATAAGAGTATTTCTTGTGCACCCTGAAAACAGAACATAAAACAAAATTAAACTATTTCTTTATTTTTATGTCCACACACAGTTTGTTGTGGCAACGCTTCCTTTTCTTTCTTTCTTTTTCGCCCATCAGCGGTTTTTCATTTCTATTTGATGACAGAAATGGCTCACAAAGAGGAAGGAGTGTTGATGTCCATTTTACTGACTTTAAAGTTAAAATCTCAGGATGGAGAAATATTGTGGTACCAAACCACTTGGGGATGAATTCTGCTTTCACCTGAGAGACCCGTGAACACATTAACTCACCTCCACTGACATCTCAGAGAACCTTTCCCCGGCCTCTCGGACGATGTCTCCCAGTCTGAAGATGGGGCACAGGGAGTCGTTTCCTCGGTGGCAGTTCCTCAGGTAGGCGTCGTTCATCTCTGGGAGGATGTTCCTTCTGTAAAAGAAAGTGGACTTCAATATTTCCTTAAAAAATCTGAAGTTTCAGTTCCCTGGTAATGAAGAGGGTCTTTCTGAATGTTTTTTTATGCCAAATGCAAAATATTAGCATCATTAAACACAATGTGTAGTTGCAGCAACCCAGCAACAAGGAGCAAAGGTAACACAGCAGCATAGGGGTTTCTATATGTATTTGTGCAAACAGATTTGCAAATGCATGGACTGCTGAACAGTTTTGCTCCTGCACAACAGCACAGTAAACCTGAAATGAAACAACTGTGATCCAGTTTAAGTGATATAACATCACTGTTTTCATTGAAGATAAAGATCTGCAAGATGAACTATAAAAAAAATAAATAAATAAAAAAATCTCCTTAGCATTAAAAAGAAATTGTCACAATGATCAAGCTCCAAGAATTAAAAACTAACTCCAAAACTGCTGATGCAAAAAAACAAAACAAAACAAAAAAAACCCTGAAAGAAAAACAAACTCATTGAAAAAATACAAAATCTCTGCATTTCTTAACTGAAGCAGCTGAAGGAGAGAAACTGAATCTGCTGTATCCGCAGGCACAGAGCAGTCTCACCTGATGTAGTTGAAAGCTGGGAATCGGATGTTGTTTTTGATGAGGACAGTGAAGTTCTCAGCTGCTGCCAGCAGAGCAGGTCTGCGTCACATGAAGCGATGATTATTAGCCAAAACGCTTTTGAGAGCAAACTAGGCCAATTAAAAGCTGCTGGGAAGTCCTGTCAGCTTCTCAAAATGCTTCTTGCTCTGTATAATCCATAGATGTTAATATTTATATGAGTGGTAAATGTATTTATTCGAAGATTGTGTGGTGGTTTAAACTTGGCTTCTACTTATTGGAGGGGGTGTGATGGCATGTATTAGTATGTTTTTCTCCTGCTTTACAGTCCAAGCTTTTGCAGAGGACTACTTGTATGATGTGTCTTCCAGCTGTTATCATAACAGAGCCAAAGAGGGCGTGGAAAGAAGGGAACAAATCATGGAAGAATAACAGCTGTGTCTCTTGCTCCCGATTGAGTTGGTATAACCATTGCACAGTCTACATGCATCTAACTAGATGTTGTACCCATGTTTTTTAGATCGAGCTCACATGATGTGGCTGTCAGTGAACTTCAAAGACTTCTGAAATGTCACATTGTGTAGACAAATTCATTTCTCTTACCTTGGAGGAGTCGATCTGGTTTCGATCGGACACCACGCAGAAACTTCACAGGTTTTCTTCGATAAATCAAACTTCACACACGATCCCGTTTGAATCCCTGCAAAAGGGAAGCAGTCGTATAAACCCTAAAGGATGTTTGATTCCTGCAGCAGACTCAGAGCTGCACAGAACTACAACCATCTGAGCTGCAAACCAGAGATTATTAATTCCTCTGATTTCTGCGGACACAGGACATCACTCTCATTTTGGGAACAGCACAGGGATCCAGTGGTTAGCAGAGTCACGTCACAGAGGGGCCTTTCTGTGTGGAGTTCTCCCTTCACATTGGGCCTGTGTGGGTTTCTCCCAACTTCCTCCCACACAAAGATACGCATGTTAGATTAACCGGTGATTGTAAATTGGCCGTGGATGTGAGTTGTAATGTGGGAAGTAACCATTATATAATATAAACACATGGTTAAAGGTGCTTTGTAGTCTAAAGCACTTTGAGTGGTCAGTATAAAATGAAACATACAATATTTTTAATGCTGTGTTTTTATGTTTTGTTACTCTCGATTGTCTCACAGTTTCAGTAAAATGGTTTAGCTGCTCTACTGTTGTGTATGAACCACCTGAAGTTAGTTTTACATTTCTAATGTTTACAGAAAATCTATTTAAACTGACAAAAGCGGGATAAACTGACACCAACAACGTGTCAGTTTATCTTTTAATACTTAATGATGTCTTTATTCTTAGCTTCAAGCTTATTTATTGCTACTGAATTTCTAATTAAATACTAATTAAAAACTAAAGTTGAATCAAAAACTGCAGTTCCCATATCACTGGTGGAGGCTGACTCCAAGAGTGAGTGAATCTCCATAGACTCTCATGTTAAAATGCCCAATTTCAAAGTAGAAACAAACATGTTTAAGGTGAACTGGACCCCTTCTTGTTTGCTGCCCTTCTAGCAGCTAAAAAACCTGCAGTCTGTTGGCCCTGGACATGAAACAAGGTGTATTGAAAGAAGTCACTGTACCGTGTTTCTGCTGGTCCCAGGCTCCTTTCTCACAGTCCTTATCAGTGTGACAGAATCTGCCTTTGAGAGGAACCTGAGAAATAGACAGTGCAGAAAATTGGAGTTACTCTTATTAACGACATCTTCTCTTTACTGTAGTCTTTGTTGGCAATACAATATGTGATCTCATTAAAACAAGATGAACACAGATAATAATAAAAAATAGAAATGATGAAAAAGCACCTGCGCACATTTCCCCTGCTTCTGATTCTTTGTCACAATTGCGTTGGTCACCACAAAGAAGGTGTTCTTCCCCTACAAAGATTTTTAAATAAATAAATAAAGGAATTTTTATTTTTAACAACCACAAAAAAAACCTTCACAGCTCAGCACCCAGAGGATCAAGTTCCCACCTTCCAAGGCCCGCTGTAGTCCACCTCATCCCAGACCATGTTCCCGACCTCGGGCAGGGGCGCCTGAGCCACACCCTTTACCTTTGTGGTAACCGAGCTGACCACCAGGTCAAACTCCTGGTACTTCCTGTTCCATAACATCATGATACTGCAAGATAGGAAATAAATGAAATTTTTAAATGATTAGAGCTTGGGGATTATGAGTCACATTGTCTGGTTTAGAGGATAAAGACTCAAAACTGAAGGAATACGTTCAAGTTGTAGATATTTACCGGACACTGATGGTCAGCTTTTTGTAGCTTAACCAGTTTTAGACACACAAAAAAGGTGGAATTAGCTTTTATGGTGATTAATCAAAGGCCATTTTGATATCTTCTTGTCTAATAACAGAAAGGTCATGTTTTCCTGCAGCTGTCTCTGCTACTAGCTATGCTACTAGGATGTTTGGTGGGAAGCAACAGAAATGCTCCTTTTCCAAATGGAAATCAACCAAAATGAGTTAAAAACTTGCTGGATATGAAATTTGTTCCTCCACAAATTGAAGATAATTTTAAGGATCTCACACCCAAACTGGAGTTCAGACTCAGTCAGACATTCATAAACGATCACTCCTGTCTGTTTCTCCCTGCAGACGCTTTGAGCTTTAACGGGACTTGTGAAAGTGCAGAAGTGAGAAGTGTCAGCTGAGCCGCACTGTGCGTGCGTGGGCTCAGATATTTCACATCCACTCACCAGATGAAGAGCAGAATGGCTCCGTTCAGACTCCACTTGAGTGAGCCGAGCCGGACGCTCTGGATCCGGACCAGCTTGTTGGTTTCATACTGACACAGAGCGCGCAGCCTGCAGCACGGCATGGTGATGATGGAAAGGCGCTCCGGGCTGGATTTTTAGGACTTTTTGTCTGATTTCTGTGCGGAGGAGGAATCTCTGACTCATTTCTCAACTCCTCTTCCTGTGTGGATGGTCACATGGCCACACTTCTGCAGATGCACCATGCGCTCTCACGGAGGGAATTAAACTGCAGCGCATGTCACGATATCAGGATTTGTATGGCTAACAAATGTCAAAGGTAACCTAGACATCCAAATTAGTTTTCTCTGTCGTTATTTAGTGTTCCAATATTAATTATAGCCCTTAATTTCATTTACTGGGAAAAGCTTCCTACGGTTCCCAGTCTCATTCCCCTCCTAGATAATTTGTTTAATCTGTTCTGCTGATTTTATTTGTGATGTTTAGTTGAAATGTTTCCTGTAATGAGGGATCATTAAGTCTGATATCAGGCTGCTTTTGACTCTTTTTAGCGCGAATTTATGAGCTCAGGTGTGTTTATTCTATAAAATGTTTGCATGTTCATACATATTTATGCTTTTTGTTTATTTATTTTTGATTCATCTTACTGAAACTGCTGTTTTGGTTTTTGTTTTGTACATGATAAAGGTCGGTTGGACCGGAACGCTGATTTAATAAAATAATAATAATAAGCGAGAGTGTGTGGCGGTTAGAATTTATCATTTATCCTTTTACTAAGACTGCAACGCACTTATTAACTCACAACCGTCACCGAGCAGCTTAGAGATCAATGTGCACAGATGGTTGAGTCTGAGCCGTTTTCAATAAGTAGCATACAGGACATATACAGGATGTTTTTAAAATATGGAAAATGAAAAGTGACACAAGAATAAAAAATCATTAAAAAGTATTTTGGCTTTTCCATGTTTGTTATTCCACTGCAGTTGTGAATTGCTGCTGCACCGCGCAGCTCATGTTGTTGAATATTTTCTCAACAGTTTTGGAAAATATACGTTCATATTTTTAGTAATATATAATTTCCATCCATCCATCCATCCATCCATCCATCCGCTACCGCTTATCCTTTTCAGGGTCGCGGGGGGTGCTGGAGCCAATCCCAGCTGTCATAGGGCGAGAGGCGGGGTACACCCTGGACAGGTCGCCAGTCTGTTGCAAGGCCAACACACAAGGACAGACAACCATTCATACTCACATTCACTCACAGATTCACACCTAGTGGCAATTTGGATTATCCAATTAACCTATCCCCACAAACTGCATGTCTTTGGACGGTGGGAGGAAGCCGGAGTACCCGGAGGGAACCCACGCAGACACGGGGAGAACATGCAAACTCCACACAGAAAGACCCTGGCCTGATGGTGGAATTGAACTCAGGACCTTCTTGCTGTGTGGCAACAGTGCTAACCACCGTGCCACCGTGCTGCCCTAATAATATATAATTTCAAAACACAAAATTAACCAGGTCTTTTTGTGTGTGTGTTTATTTCTCGTCTCTCTTGTGAACAAACTTACTTGATTTTTAGAAGAAGAAAAAAAAAACTAATTTTTCCTTCTGGCGTCTTGCCTTTGTCCACCTGCCTGTGTACACAGAGCCAGAGGAGAGGAAATGCTGTGCCACTGCTGACACTGTGTTTGTGTTGTTGTAGAGGAAAATACATTTACCTCTAGACTCATTCGATTGTTCTGTGAACTCATAGTTCAGAATCATGAAAGGAGGTTCAGGATGCGGAGGGGATCGGGAGAAACCACTTTAGGACTGTCAGAAAAGTTCCAGATGAGGACATCAAAATGATTTTTGAGAGGACGAAGAATAAAGAAGAAGGTGTGAAGCTCTTATGTTCAATGTGTAACACAAACATGAAAAATAAAGGTACCAAGACTTGAATCTTTCTTCTGTTTTTTTCTTCTTCTTTTAAATAAACGCCTTCCTGTACTCTAGATGGCAGTGTTGTCTCGAATGAGTTTAGGGGACTCTAATCAGATCACTGTGGAAGGATTACACCTCTCTGTCTCCATGCAGGCTTATTAAAATTATTTTTAAAAATGTATTAAATTAAAAAATACCAAACTGAAACTTCTTTCCATGCAGCAAAGAGAGAAAACTAAACAGCAACAAAATGAAGAATTTGGTTGTTCCATGTTTGCTTATCTTCCAGATAAAGAGCTTCTTGTCCCCAGCAGGACAAATGGATTGTTGTGACGGGACAGACTTTCCCATGAGGAAACAATGAAACAGTCATGTGTGCAGAGCTGGAATGTCAGTGAGAACATTTCACTCAGGTCAGGGTTTCTATCAGTGCATTAAATGTCAGACCTTTTCCTTTCCATGCAGTAGTTTAAAGCAGGAACTATAGAGCCAGTATCATATTTATTAAATGTGCCTTTAGCATAAATAAGATCAAGGTGGCATCCAGAATTGAACCAAAAATCTCTTGATTTGCAGTCAAATTCTCTACATCTGAGCTCTACCCTACATGTCCCCAGCCCTGTGCAAGCCCATCATACAGTGTGGGTTACAGCGAGCCTGAAGGCAGCACTTTCGTAATCATACAGAGAAGAGGACACACAAAGAGCTCCAATCCTGACATCTCTTCTCTTAGTGGTATTAAAAGTATCACAGAGCCATGGCATCCCCTCACTGCAGGATTCAATAATTCATTTTATTTGTCCATTTTGCCCAAAGTTCCTACATCTAATTTTCCAAAAAATAAAAGCTGTCACCCTCTCCAATCATGCTATAAGGGACTCTTATTTTAAATCCAGGGGCAACGTTTGAGTTTGTTGAGAAATTTTTATAATTTGGCTTTTTCTTGGTCATTCATCTTGTTTGAAAATGCACGTGCATGGTGTACAAACATATGCAAGAACCTAAGCTCGTGTCAGTGTATTTAGTTTGGGATATTTTTATTACTGTGTAGAATTTATCTAAATTGTGAAGCATTTTTTAACTGTAAGTTAAAAAAAAGTGATACTGAAATTAGGTTATTATTGTATTTTTTAAAAGGCTGCGGATCTCCTATGGTGAGCATCAGTTTTCTTAAAAACTCACTACAAATGTTTGATTTCAGACGTTCACTGCTGGAGAATGGTGTCTGTCAGTATCACAGATCTGTGGGGGAAAAGCTGAAGATCAGGTTTTAAAATATTTTCTGGGGAGGATAGCCTTCTTGTGACCTTATCTTGATTTTGTGATAGCCACAGGCTTTGTTATTCAAAGTATTTCACCCGTTACATTTGTCTAAATGGAAAAATGTCTAAATCTGCTCTTACATAAGAAGTGATTTCCAGAAATTCTGTGACTGGCTGACAACTTAGTTTTAATCAGATGTAAATTTATTTTTTTTCTTTGTACAAAGTGCAGATGGTTAAATGCTCATGATTTCTTTAAGTATGAAAACATCCCAATAAAAACAAACTGGACTGATCAGTCCGACCAATAAAGTTTGATTTTGTCGGTTTGCATACAGAAACCTCCTCAGCGGAAAAGCTTCTGCAGTATAGGTTTAAGCTGGGCAAAATTGCCGCTGTTCTTCAGCTTCTGTGGCATGTTGCTGGACTTCATGAGCGCCTCGTGAGCTTCTTCAAATAACTTCTCACCGAGCTCTTTCTTCACTCTGTCCCTCCAGGCGATCAGCTTCGGGCGACCTTCAAACCCATCAAAACCAGTTCCAAAAGGCTGCAAAACAGACAATAGTGCAGTTATATTTGTGGAAATCAGCTGGCAATTGTTAGAATTTAACAACAAATAAAAACTCAGAAGACAAAATAAAGTTAGAACAATCCGAGCATATCATTTTCATTCAGACAATTCACCTGATGGACTATCTTGCAGTTATGACTGTGTGCCAGCTACACGCTTATCATCTGGCCCTAATGTGCTCCATGTGAAGCAGGCTTAATGTAGAAGTGGCCCTAATTTAAATATGGTTTTATATGCTAGACATGCAGATGAGTTGAGGTACCCAAACTCATCACAAGTCAATGCTGCCAGTCAAGGCCAATGGTTATCCATGAAAACAGTTTGAAACAACTTTTGACCAAGTCCAAGGGATTTAGACCCGGAGTAAACTGCAGTTTAAGACAACTTAACTCGACCACAATGGACTGGTAACACAAACCAACTGGTCACAGTACCATGGATATGACTAAACTAAAGACTAAAGATTAAAACCTGTACACACCAATGATTTCAATTGGCTTAAATGTGACAAGACTCTTGGAGAAGAGATTTAAAGCTCCCTCTTCACACATGCTGTGGGAGTTTTAATGTATACGCAGTATTTACTTATAATTTTAGTTTTAAAATTAGTTACGACAGGCAAAGTAGAAATCCTGCGACAGAAGCAGCAGTAGTGATGGAAATATTAGTACCTGCATGATCTCCACTATGGCCACCACATCAGCCACAGAGATTTTGTCCCCGAGGATGAACGGTTTACTCTGGAGGAATTTCTCCTCCAGCAAGTTGAGCGACTGCTTCACATTCTCAACAGCAAAGTCCATCGTCTCCTTCGGGATTTCAGAGTCCATGACAATCTGATACAGAGCCTGCCATCACAGACACACAGAGATTAACTGTTGGCACCGGCAATGCAGTCAAGAGCCTAAGAGAGGTAGTTATTGCTGATCCAAAGAAAGAGCTTCAAACTTTTCTGTTTAGTTTTGTTTCTGTTTTTCTTAGTTGACTCTTTTAAATGTTTTTCCGTGTGGAATGTGCATAGATTTCCAAATGTTCTTTTGGATATCGTTATGCTTAAAATCTTTAATTATTAGTGTCTGACTGCCAGGTGGTCATAAACTCAACATTTACTGGATGGACATTCATAGCACGCAGAGGATACACTTTTTGACTTTTCCTTTTGTGGCACCAGCAGGTGATCCTGTGAAGTATCTCAATATCCTGGCACACTGTTTACTGGAAAGTATTACTGTAAATATTACAAACAAAACATTGTACTAATGGTGCTTATTCTGTGGTTTTTTTTAGAAGTGCCAGTTTTCAGCTCAGCCACCCTGTGTCATTTAAACTTCATGCAAAGCTGCTGACTTTGTGCCACATTGTGCCTTTCTCTGAAAGAAGAGTCAACTCTAAATTGGTGCAAAAGTCTAAATCCAAAGTGAAACTGGTCCACTGAAACGTCCAAACAGACGTGTCAGTGGGGACCGTAAATCATATCATATCTACAAAAGGAACCAATCAGACAAACGAGGCTGATGAAATGTGTGTGTTGAAAAGCGTCAGGTGAGGACAGTTGATTGAACTGGGACACGAACCCTGAGCAGGAAGACCTTTGAACAGTGAGTTCTGAGGTTCATGTGCTGCCAGGAGAAATATTCGTTCACACGTGCTCGCTGCTGCAGATCAGCAGGAAACCAGTGATCTGCCACTGACCCCGAGTATTTCTGCATAAGGTACTCCAAGATCGCAGTACTGCAACACAAGAGAGAACAAAAACAAATGATGTTTTAACCCCTACTTGCTAAAGTGCTGAATTTAACGATTCTTAATTATCTTTTAGTTTGAGAAACTCTGTTTTGTAGGTTCAGTTTTAGCATTTAGGATGTCACAGTCCTGTTTTTTGAGCTGTAAATGACCATATTTAGATTACTCTCACAAATATCTGCCAATTACTGCCAAGTATCAAACAAGTGAAAAACTCAAAACTCACTGAGCAACACTGAGGCACAGACTTCTTAGATGTACTCTTAGTACAATTACAGTAAATGCACAGGAAGCTGTTTAACGTGGCACAGAACTGCATGCACAATGATCCAAAAGGCACAAATGTGGAACATGTGATATTAGCTATGCTGCAATCTAAGTAAAGTATGTCAGAGATACAGGACAAGTAAAGTATTTCAATTAAATTATGTATATAATTATATCATTTAAATAATGTGTAAAGAAGCCAGACCAAAACTCAGACGCCCGATGTACCTCTCAGTCAGAATGAAGCCTCCATCCTTCATGACAGGAACCTTTCTCACGATGCTGAGGTCCCCAAACTCCTTGCTGTACTGCTGCCCTGAGACAAACACAGAATCCATGCACACGTTACAACACGTTAAAAAACAGGTCTAGACTGCACAACTCCATAAATTGTTTCAGAATGTGGGAAAAGAGATCAAACAGACTAAACTGTCTGGAAGCAGAAAGCATTGCAATGTTTCTCTGTTCCTTTGTCTTGGGTTTTTCTCTCTCCCTGTTTTACTTGCTTGAAAAACGTCCCTGTCTTAAAGAGTCGGGTATCTCAGAGTTAACAAAACTCTTTCTGGGTGAAATGTGAAAAATGTAAACTGATATCCCAGAGGGAGATTTTGTGAATGTTAGCAATTACAGCACAAGTTAAAAGCCGCGGGGGCATTCATCTCCTCTGAATTCTTGCGAAATCCTTTTCCAGTCCAAATTATTCGCAGACAAAGAGAACAACTTGCTATGACTGCAGTCATGCGGACTTCTATGATAAATTCAAAGTCTACAGATCATTTAGCTCTATATTTTTTTCCAAAATATACAAATGCTACTATTTTAGAATGTGAGCTGAAACTTTTACAAAAGCATGCATGAGTCAAATATAAACTATCATCTCTGTCCCCAGCAAGATTACCTGTGGCAAGGTCGACAACCTTGAACTCAAAGGGAATCCTGAGCGCTCTGGCAAACAGAAAGACAGAGCGGCAAGGTGGGGATATCAAATCGAGATAGAGCTCCATCATGTCGGAGTGTGACGGCTGCAGATGCTTCCCTCTGTGTTGTGGCCACTCTCCTGCCTAGCCTGATATAGTCTATCTGACCAGAACTCCGCCTCTACTTGCTACATGACCTACTAACGTTTAAGTGATAGTGATCGTTCAAAGTAAGCAATGCTTAAGCAATCTGAGCTTTGGTCTCAACTTAACCAAACATTTCATGAACTCTAGTCTACTTTATGGGTCTCTTAGCTCAGCGGTCCCCAACCTTTTTTGCGCCACGGACCGGTTTATGCCCGACAATATTTTCACGGACCGGCCTTTAAGGTGTCGCGGATAAATACAACAAAATAAAACAAAACAAAATAAAAAGTAGTTACCCCCGTCAAAAATTGTTTCCCCATTCACGGGAGCGCGCAAAGTAGGAGGAGCCACTTGCCCAGCTCCGTTCTGTACGCTACTTGTCACTGATCTGCAGTCGACGCGATAAAGAGTAAAACCTGGAAAACAGCAGACTCGATGAATTTAATATTAGTTTCGTGACATTGTAATGTGCCGTGTGGAAGACAGTTTACCTTATACTGTACACTGAAATAACCTGCTGGGAGTACTTTGTCTAGAAAAAGACTTTGATACTATAATACTGTAAAACCAGATGCGATCATGGAAACACGTCGCTCTCCAGTGAATTTACACTCGGTTTACACTTTGTAGCGAAGCTATCACGAATGAGTTTATTTGCAAAATCAATCTCAGTATAACCAATAAGTACAGTAACTTTGGAGAAGATGTCTTATTCACAGCAAAAGTTATGGAGGGATACAGATTTTATCAGGCTGTGTGGCATCGGCTGCCAAAATGTGTGCCCCCCATCAATAATGCACCTTGGTTTTGCTATCAGAAAGAGTTTATTTGCAAAATAAATAACAGTATAACTAATAACTACAGTAACTTTGGAGACCATTTGGTTTTTTTTAGACTTCTTAATTTAACATCTACATCTATATATGTAGATATGTGTTCTCGACAATGTGTGCCATAAGAACACTAGCTGTGGACCTTTAGTGTCAACTATGTACAAGCGAGACAAATAAACACATCTTCTGGTGGTGGGCTTTTCACGCAGAGCTGGTGGAACCACCGCAAACACATCTCACACTGAATCTGTAAAAAAATAAATAATTACAAATCCCAATGTTAAAATTTCATTTATGGGAATTGATCATAACATTTAGCAGTCTTTTTTGATGTCATTACCCATTTGTTGTCAGTTGCATGCTCTTCTTCCCCGCAGAAATGACAGATGTTTGTCAAGTCATCTGTTTTAAAAAGTGAAAAAATAGCACATAGAGTATACTACCTACTGCACTTATTACTTCATTCAAACAACTATATGGTTTGTTTCTACAGCTATCATGATGAAAATATTCATGATGTGAGAACATTGAATGGTGGAAAATGAGTTACCTGTCTCTAGGAGAAGAGCGGTGGCAATTTGCAGCCTGTGTGTGTTTATGGCCTTTTTTGTAGACGGAAAGTCTATTGACTCTTTTCGCAAGATCTTTTCAGCAAACTGAAAAAGAGATTCTAAGATGACTAAATAGGCTAATATCGTAAATGTTATTTTATAGTAATTTGTTTCCTGTGAATCAATTTCTTTCTTTTATTGTGTAATTATCTTATATTCCTTTTCCTGTCATTAACATTTATTACAACACAACATTTCCAATATTCTCGTATATATGTATGTATTACGGTTAAGACTCGTACTTTCAATGCAAAGACTCCACATGAGGTAGCGTCCACTTGTTTTGGGTGTTTGACTGTGTCAAAAGTCCATCTTGAGACGTTGCATCCTTTTTTTCGCATGAATGCCCTGAAAGACAAGTACAATAAAAACAAATAACATGTTTTAAAATTTTGGTGACACAAGAAGGTGAACAGTATGGAGAGCTTAAGTGTCTGTTGAACATCAAGTTAAGAACTGACCACACTGTTTTGTTAAAATCATTACTTTTTAAAAGTCTACAACGCATTTCCGTGGACAATTACTTGTGCTTTTTTTTCCCCGTTTCCGCCCATGATATAGAAATCAATCACTTACACAGTACACTTTGAAGAGATGTGGAGGAGGAGCAAAGATGAAATTCACACATGTATAACCTATGTGAAATTATTTTAGACATTTGTCTGATGTTTTAGTGCTAAACCTCTGCAACACTTTATGCAACTACTAAACATTATTCTCCCCGTGCTATATTTTCTAATGTAAAAACATCATCTCATACAGACATCAGGTCCTCAAATAAACATTGAAACATGGGGAGACTTCACTGTAAAGGCAAAATTAACCCATAACACCATAATATCAGAAGGCCAACACAAAAATTCAAACCTGTTGCTGCTATTTTTTTAATTTTGAGTGCCAATTTTTTTTTTTTTTGATTGACATCATACTTATAATTGTCATAATAAACACAAAAATAACAACAGCAACAAAGCGTTTAATAAAGGGTCAAAATAAATTTCAACATTTATCCTTACCTTGTTGATTCCAAACAATTTTGGATACCTTGTTTAGTTTCTCCAAGTGGATCAAGATACAGTGACTTCTTTTCTTGTGGGTAAATGACCTACAGTAAAATTATGTGGAGAATTACATGTAATAATTCAAGACTTAAGATTATCTGCATGCCATGCATTTGTCTTATAAAACTGATTTGATGAATATTGTAAATGCAATTATTTATTTACCACTAATGTCCAGTGATGATGTTCATTTACAATTCCCAGAATGACTTCATGCTCCATGGGTTTGATCTTAAATTGAAACAAAACAATAAAAATATTCACTTCAGAAAGAAATGCAATAACATGTTGTTTAGAGTCCTTTTTTATTAAAGCAATTTATGATATATTATATATCATCCACTTATAAAGTACTCTGCGACAGCCATGATTCACCCCTCATTTCTTTAACCTGTGCAAGAAGCTGGACTATCTTATATTTTTTATAAGTGGTTTTGCACATTACTTCCTCCAAGACTAATAAAGGTCTTTCTAAGGATTTTTTTTGGACATGGAGTTCATTTTCAATGCGATCCTTTTACCATCTGCAGAATAATGTTTAATGCTTTCTTAAGCCTCTTTAACAGTGACGTAAGAATCACTTGATAATAAAAAGGTACCTATTAAAGAGATGAAGCAGTGTTGATGATTTCAAAAGAGATATTAGCCCAAATGTTTGAAAATCTCAAATCAAGCATTGATTGGAGTGTGTACAAAAAGAGGAGGAAACCAGACAAGCAGAGAACAAAAGAGAACTGTCAAGTCTAATAAACTATCCACATCTACTAACCCCAGTCTCAATTCATTCTTTCTGCATAAGCTGTTATCCAATCTAAATCTGGATGTGGATATGATCTGAGATACTTAAACAATACACACAAGATTCTTTCTACAGATACCTACCTTGAGTCTTGGAGCTTTTCTCTTCCAAATGGCAGTCATTGAAAATGAATCAATGAATGCTGCTTTTGCTGAATTATGACGATTGCATTGTCTCACCATGATCGCAAGATATGCATTAATAGACTGCGAATACAAAATGTAAACATTTGTTAACTGTTGTCAATGAATAAAACACTGATAGTTGCATTGTTGTCAGTAAAGATCACTGTACCTCACTTTCCAACTCCATGTCTGGACCAATTTGTTGGATATCCCAGTAGAATAATTTGTAAGCACCAATTCTGGAGAGTAGAATGTGAGGACTCTTTCCAGCCCAGGCATCCATTATATCTACAAAAAGTAATGAGAAAAAGAGATAAGTCAGCAGGACTAAATGTAAATCAAAATTTCAAATGCATAATTTCTTATGTAGTTGTCTGACAAAAGACGTGTTTCAGGGTTAATACTTTTAAGACGCTGACAAAATGGGCACATGGTTTAACATTGTATTTTGTAAAAAAAAAAAAAAAAAGAGAACTTAAATTTGCTTTTATTTGGGGGTAAAGTTACACTTACAATGTTCTACAAAGAAATTTAAATAAATTCATATTAATAAAAGAAAAGAAATTTAAATACATAGCAATAGAAATGCTCTTGCCCCCTATCATATCTTTTTTCCAGCAGAAACACCTATTACAACAATTTTTTAAAATTATGTTTAGTTGAAGTTACATGACTATATTTTAAAATACTCAGGCTCAAGGCTTGCACCTGTGGCCTTTACTATTACATAACCATTTCTGGAAAAATGTTATTTTGCTCCTCCAAAACTAGTTTTATTATCTGTAAAATAGAGTGTCAATTTTTGGGCTGTTAAAGGCAGCGTCTTAAAGAGTATTTGATCTTTCGAACTGTTGCTGGCAGGCAGTCATCATCACAACATTAATATTAGAGATGGCACGATACCACTTTTTTATGTCCGATACCGATACCGATATCATAAATTTGGATATCTGCCGATACCGATATGAATCCGATATAGTGTTTTTTAATCAACAAAACTGTTTTTTAAATATCTTGCTGCATTTTGTATAAGTTCATACTCAAGTTTAAAACAACAACTACACTAAAGCTATTCTGTTATACCTGTATGCAAAAAAAAATATTTCATAGTTCAGCAATACTGATCAATCTAATAAACTTAAACCTACACCATCCTCCCTATTCTGGTATTTTAAAGAGTACTTAGCATAAATATTAAGCAACCTAACTAATAGGGTTCCAACTCCCAGCAACAACAAAAATAAATAAATAAAAAATAGGGAACCACCCCTCACCTCCACCTCATGATGCTTAATCGACGTAATCAACCTTAATTTGATGCAGTGTGGAAAAAAATCACAGAAATCAATTCATTTTTCAAGAAATATTAAATAGATTCAACATCTTTCTTCAACAAAATTGCAGACTGCACAGATGGTACCTTCCCAAAGGAAAAAGTACTATAGCTTACTAGGGTATATTAGACTTAACAGTTACTATATACATAATGGACTTCTATACATTTTACATCAGATTAAAACTTTGGGTGTAAGATTCAGATAATATTATATTAAAAGCTCGACATTTTAAATGAGAATAAGAAAGAAAAGTATGTCTTTGTGCCCCCTTTTCCCTGTTACATGCCCTATCGGCCCCCCTGGCTAAACTTTGCTAGATCCGCCCCTGCACAGTTACCAGCCGTCAGCTACGTAGAAAAAGATCCTGAGTGAGAAAGTAATATTAAATACAATTCTAACAACAGCTTATCAAGCTTAAACGTGCTGCTGTTGTTTCAGCCACTGGTTTCCTCTTTCTGGTGCAAAGTGGGCCAAAAGACAAAGAGAGACGGACTCGCGACAGAAAAGCCGATCAGCTGATCGTTAAGCAGTTTCATGATTGAAGTAGCAGCCGAAGCGAGAGGCAGTCGCTTGTTAAGCTTAACGCAGGAATGCTTTACAAACATTCAGAGATGGACTTACACACTTGCTTTACTTCTCTCGGGGATAACTTTGTCGGAGATGAAATGCCGGGTTGCTAGCGAAGCTCCACATGCTATCCAGACCACCGACAGGTCCCGCATGCCACAGCCGCTCTATCACGTGATGCATACTGCTCCGACGTGCTAACGTTCTGAGGTGAGTTACGGTCGTGTTGCAAGTTTTGTGAGGTGCTTTCGTGATATTTAATGGATCGGATTACATTTTTTATTTTTCTCCGATATCCGATCCAGTAATTTAGGTCAGTATCGGACCGATACCGATACGTAATATCGGATCGGTCCATCTCTAATTAATATACTTCTTGTAGTAGGCATTCTATGTCACTAGCAGCATATATGACAGCAATTTGGAAAAGAAGAAAATGAAGAACATACACTACTAGTCAAAATTTGGGACACACCTTCCCATTCAGTGTTTTTCTGTGTGTTCATGCTTTTCATGCAGTGACAATCATCTTAGGTGACTACCCCATGAAGCTCACTGACAGAAGGCCTAGAGTGTGCAAAGCAGTGATCAAAGCAAAGGGTGGCTAATTTGAAGAATCTAAGATATAAAAAATATTTTTGGTTCTTTCATACTTTTTGGTTTACTACATCATTTGTGTTAGGGTTAGTGCTCCATATGTGTCCATTCATAGTTTTGATGCCTCGAGTTCTAATCAACAATGAATCTACAAAATAGACAAGGAAATTAAGAAGCAACATTAAAATGAAGGTGTGTCCAAACTTTTCACTCTTAGTGTACATCAGATGTACAATATCAATCATGAACATTCTGGGTTACACAACAACAAAAGAAAGATTCACAGCTTTGAAGGACTCACTTTTTCATTTGTGTAATTTTACACATGTGGCTCACATCCTTTTACAAGTTTTCTATAATGTTTTGCCCCATGAATGTTTTTTTAAAGCATTAACATATTGTTAAATTTAAATATTCTGTTAGGAAATATACCTAACAAAATCTTTTTAAAGGTGTAAAATTTCCTATGCCATGATCTACAGAGTACTGAAACAAACACTGTCATAGGAACAAAAGTACTTTTTAAAAAAATTAAAAAATAGTATATTTATTTACATTTCTCTGCAACTGTTGGTTCTATGGTTTGTGCTGTAGATTGCTGGGCTGTAATCTGTGGAGCTGAGGCTTGTGTGGTTGTAGCATTTGGAGCTGTGGTCTGTGAGGCCGGGTCTGCTGCTGTTGTGGTTTGTGAGGCTGGGTCTGCTGTGTGGTGGGTCTGCTGTTGTGGTCTGTGAGGCCTGGTCTGCTGTTATGGTCTTTGAGGCTGGGTCGGCTGCTGTTTTGGATTGTTTGTAGAGCTGTAGCGTGTTCTGGTGCTGTAGCACTTGTGGCTGGTTCTGGTGGTTCGTTCACTTTCTGTGCTATTGCTCCTGACTCTGGTTCTGATACCGTTATTGGTATACCTTGTGGAACTGGAGATGGATGTTGTGTTTGAACTGGTAGTGATGTAAGTGATGCCATTGGTGCTGTAGCCTCGTGTAGCTCTAGGAGGAGGTGTGGTGCTACCGCCACTGGTGCTGCTGTAGCCTGTGAAGCTAGAGCAGATGCTGGTGCTGCTGGACCTGGTTGTGCTGTTAGTAATGTGGCTGCTGTTTTCTTTAAACCCCGGTGTGGCACTCTTGGCATGCTGTCTTTGCTTAACTTTAGTTGGTCAATATTTACTTTTGGAATGATTGTCCCATTGGAATCCTGAAGATCTGCACTTTTACCTTGGATTGCTGTAATAATGTAAGGGCCTAAAAAGTTTGCTTCAAGTTTCCCCCCCTTTCCTCTGCTGGCTTCTTATGTTAGCTCTTAAAACTTTGTCACCAACTTTGAAGACGACATCTCTCTTCATCATTTTTATTTTGCCCTTTGTTTTTTCCTGAGCTTTGACCACGTTGTCCTCACAGTTCCAACAGTTGACTTTTGAATGTCTTCCGACACCTCCTCCTGCCCCACAATGTCTTCCACACTCTCATCAACCTTTGAATCAAAAGACATGTCTATCATTACTATAATTTGTGTAAGATACACAGATAATACATAAAAGAACTGAGAAATACAGTGAAAATTTACATTAAGTGTCTTTGGTAAGGTTTTAAGACAAAGTATTTCTGGCAAAGCTTCAGTGTATCTTGGGATTGATTGGACATGAAGAAAACTGTTATTGAGGGGTGGAACAATCCTTAAAAATATTCAGTGGTGCTTTTATGGCGGTGAACTGAT